ATATATATATATATATATATATATATATATATATATATATATATATATATATATATATATATATATATCATAATGTTATTACAGAGTTAAAAGGCCAGTTTTTACTTCCAGATTACCTGAAAGCATCTTCAGCATATTGAAAACTGCAATTTCTTTCCCTCTTTTTAAAGAGTCAGAATATTCTAAAATTTTACAAATTAATAACAGTGTTTCAAAACAAGTTTGTGCAAGTGCCTACAAGTCCATAACAGGTCCACTGCAAGTCATTCAACCCAGATGTATTTACGTGAACTGGAAGAAAACAATTACTTGTTCCCCCTGCTGAGAGGTTTCATAAAGGACTTGTGAGTGGGCTTGCAAAGGACCTGTAATGAATCTGACTGGAAAATTGAACAATTTGAATGCATGATTGAACACTGCATTATCCTCTAAGATAGGTCCGGATCATCTTTCTTCAGGTGGTTATTCTCTTCAAGTTCCCCTAAAGAAGAAAACAATTTCCAAAAACATTATGAACGGTTCCATCTTCATTGCGGCTCTTTTATGTACTTTCGATTTATTCCCATAGAAAATGTGGTGCAAGGAGTTGGATGCTACCAAATCTCTTTAAAATTACGTTGTAAAAAATAGGTAAGGCTGGTATTATTTCATTCAGCACCACGCATTTAGATCCACAACCAACAGGGGTATCGTCAAGCGTTTCACTTTGTTTAGGTTCTCGCGAGTTTGTTTCATGTTTGTATATTTTCAACTTAAAATCAATCAGCGCGGAGTGATCCCATATCAGTGTGATACTTTCTCAATTCTTTTGTCCAAGTTCAATTCCCGTGTCACAAACAGCGATGTCAAGTAAATCTTTGCAAATTTGTGATATTCTGTCGAACTACTGTAGGTAACAACAAACTTCTGGAAACCTTGACGTCATTTGCAAGGACGTTTTATAAGTCAGAAATTACACACATCAATAATACAATGATAAAACGTTAATGATAAAAAATTACGCAACAGCAACAGAAACGACAGTAGAACTAGCTGGTCCATATTTTATCAGCCAACGTTCAGTGGGCTGGATTGGGTACAGGAGGGTGTGCTTCACTCATTCATCCTCGTCCTCGGGTAATTTCGACATTTTAGTAAACAGCTGATAGTTTTCAAAACAAAATGTTTCGTGTCCCTCAAAGTCGGTATAAGCCCCATCCCATGTTCAACATTTTGTTATAATCAAATTCCTTTATTTCTTTTAGTCACAAATGTGTCCTAATCACAACACTTCAAACCTATACCCCCTGTCCGAAACTTTTCATATGTTCCCACAAAAATTGAATCTCAAATAAGTCCTTTCAAACAGTGTATTTCGGCAGCAATGTTTGAAAAATCCTAATGCTGTGATCTCAAGGGGTACATTATAACAGGCGACCAAAGTATGTCTCAAGACTTGATTTAAGTGTACGATTAAATCTCAGACGGACGATATGTCTCCATCCCCCACTTTGTATTAACAAGTCTTTTTTTACGAAAAGCAACAAATGGCATGCAGTGGTGGGCATGCAAAGTAAATCAAGCCTGTGTGTAGAACATGCTCTCCAAGGTTTGCAACTGCACATACTGCCAGCATGTGCCCATATTCACAAAAGGACGAATAAAAAGACCTTTCCACGCACATCACCTTACTGTACACTGAGCCCATTAACAATATGCAGCAAGGTATGAGACGGAGAGAACCCCCCCTGCTTTGTGTTGGTCATAGTCTCGCAGGAATCTGGGGAATTCCTTTCAGACATCTTGGGGGATGTGTTAAGTAACAACAGTCTGGAATGTGCATAGGGATTGGACATGTTGGGGGGTACCCCTCGGTCTCATTTCTTTCTGGGTATACCATTAACACCAGCCAGGGACATGCATATTTATGTTTACTGAACGTTAATCCGCAAACTAAGAGCCTTCAAGACGGTTTCAATTTTTGGCCGATGGGCACTAGCGGCGGAAGCAGGGGGGGCAGTGCCTGCCCTCCCCCTTCTTCGAAGGAGGATAACCCTCCTCCGCCTTTTGCAGGTCCTATACACTTGGGTGCGGTTCAATGAATTGAGCCCTAAATGGCTGATGTCTGATTGTCTAACGACTGCACCCTCCCTTCGAAAATCGTTCCGCCGCCGGTGCCCATGGGTCCCATTTCTTGACTAATGTTTGACAACAGGTGGCGTTCAAGGTGTCAGGTGTGAGCCCCGAGCAGGCCTGAGAGGGGCACAAATTTCCTAACAACGGAAGCTCCTTGGTGGAAACTGCACTTCGCTGGTTCACGAATGACTATGAAATGAACGTGTTAAAGTCACATCGCCGCCAACAAAATTTACACTTCCCATAAAAGTGATTCTTTTGAAATAATGTGGGGGTGCTTCTGCTCAAGACAGTATAAAGCAAACTCTTTCGTATTCTCTCTCTCTCTTTTCATGCATTGTGGGGTACTGATCCTTACCGTTTCAAGTTTAGATGCCTTTCACAGATTTTCTAAATAAAAAAGATATTTTGAGCAAATCATACAAAACGCAAAAAGACATGTCACCATACACAATTATTTCAACTTCTGCAATTTTTCTCTCGAAGCATATAAAGCAGAATTTCAGTGTGAATTCAAATTTGGAGAAATTCTATCCATAAACGTTTTGGAACTTTTTAATTTATAAATAAACTTGATTAGCTGGGAGGGTCAAAACATTTTCTGTAGGGGTGATTAAAAACTTCGGGGTAATCGTAACAGCCTAAAATACCAACAAAAATTCCGAATTGCATGTGTCTGCTGAAACCTGGCAATCTGGAAACACAGATGCGTAACCTTAACTATTACCAATCGACTGCATCTTCGCAAACTTATATCAGGAGCGACTTGCTACTCGAGCCAAATACATTAGATTTAACTTTCACCTGGCTTTCTCATATCCATATCGTCTTTGCGGTTCTTCTTCTCTTGTTTCTTGCAGCAGCAGTAGGTGACAATGCCGATGACGATAACAACGATCACACAGGCAATAACAATGACAATTATCGCCCAGACTGGAAATTTTCGAGGTTCTGTGAATACAAAATAGCAAAATCAAATTAGGCTAACAAAAAACAGAATCTGTTCTTGTCTGTACACAAGACCCCATTAATGTAACTGGGATCTGCACAGAGATTTAGAGGTGATTCAGTCTGGTGTCCAACCTCAACAAAGGCACTGCGATAAAGAGCTCAGGGCATGAGGGGTCAGCGTGCTTTCTTTGGATTCTTTTTGTTATAGAATTTATTGCATTATGCTTCCTAATGGTTCTTTCCCTTCCAGATTACCTCCTTTAGTCTGTTCCTGTTATCCTTTCGCGGAAAAAAAGTTGGAATAATGAAAATAATCATACTAATGCAAGTTGACACCAGAGTTTGAACTTTGGCCAGAGTAGTTCAGAAGTGTGCGGGCTTCCTAAGGTATGACTGCATCTAATGCTAGAATGCCCTAAATTCGTAACTGGACGTTGACCTGGGCTCTCAACACAAAGTTCCAGCCGTGCACAAAAGGGACATCCAGGGCTACTATTATGTCTGCTCGCAGCAGCTCTCTACATATTTACATTCGGCAATGATCTCAACCAAGCCTTTAACACAAGATTTGGCAAAGGCCTTTGACTGAAATGAAAAAAATACATTTGTACATTAAATACTGTTTTCTGTGACCGCACCCTTCTTCATCACAAAAAGACTATAGCTAAAGACACCTACCTGCATTACCAGATGTTTTGACATCATTTCAAAGTGTATCAATGATTTGTTTGATTACAGCAAAATAAATCATCGTAAAACTAGAAAAAACTAAAAGACACCTAGGGATTAGACGAAAATCGGAGCATATCCTATTGAATTAAATGTTAGTTTTATTGTCAAAAAATTCGCAATAAAATGAATGCAGACCTGACGCTTATACGCATCTTCAAACCTACCCGCCTATGTAAAGGTATTTCTGACGGTTCATTTGACCAATATTATGTAGTATTAATCGTGGCACAGAAGTGTTCTACCCCCTAAGATCCGAAATTAAAAACAGCTAACCAGTTTCCCAATCAGGAGTCTTGATATTGTCTTGATATCTCCGACAAAAGTTGTTCAATGACAAATTAAACGAAAAAGGGGTTATCCTTACATCAGTTCACTCAAAAGCAAAGTTATCATCGTGATGTTTAAAGTTTTTCTTTACAGTCTAAACTTCAGGCCTGTTTCCAAATGCATGTTCCACATCCATATGAACATTTTTTTCAGAAAGGATATCATTAATACACGGCAAATTAAATCATGGTCTCTCTGCGTAAATAGACAACTCACAAAATATACGTTATGCACGGCAGCCATATTCCAGGTCAGTGCTTTGGTTATAAGGGGGATGAACAAAAGATCTACTCACGTGTATCCATACGGAACAAAAACACTGACAGGGAAGATGATTAACGTGTACAACCGGTATAGCAATAAAATATATCAACTCTTAAGGGCAGTGAGATGGTTAATTAATGTGGAGAAAGGCAAAAATTAAACCCAATCAAACAACAAACTGACATTGTCTACAACACGTAAAATAAAGAAGTAAATAGAAATTATTTCGCATGTCACAACAGACACCAGCGGGAAGATAAACTAAATTAGGTTGAGTTCAAAGGTTAAGAGTTCGACATCAAGTCAAATATAACCGACACATTACACGTGGTCATTGGCTACAGACGGAAGGGGCAAAAGCAACTTGGCCGAGTCGAAAACTTAATTTGCATATTTAACATGAAAAGAGATCTTTCAATGGTTGACACATCCCAAAAACTGGACATATGCCACAATGGCACTGCAAAACAACTACTTCATTGCATTTCTTTTGATCTTCTACAATTTGATAAAACTTCTATAAAATGTCTATCAAGTAGATACATGAGTATCTGAGTTTTAGAAATTATATTAAAAGCGAAAGGTCGAATACACTGGTTGGTTATTTCACAGTACAACCAAAACTCAAAGTTTAAAAACAAACCCGAAAAGAACCTCAATGTGGTGTTTAGTCATATCTTTGCAACATACATGTGGTTGGAAATCACCTGATACTTCGGATTAACCCTTATACCAAACCAAAAAGACAAAAATATCAGTGAATACCATTACGAACAAGGCATGCTTTGACTTATGCGCGTTTTGTGAAAACACGACGTGTGACATGCCCAGATTTTTAGCTTCGGGGCAAACCGGGTCTTTTTGCTCCTACAAAATGTTTAAATAGTTTTCATTCGTGAAAGAGCCGCCCCCTTCCAAAGGCAGGTACTAGTACCTTTACTAAACTGTTTGCACTTGCAACGCTTACAAGAGTTGTTCTTGTCCCCAGCGGGGCAATACGTTCTTTTCCCAACGGGACACACCGCTGATGGGGGAATGAGGACGTTTATGTACTCATTGATGAGTAAAGAAAATCATCTGAATGTCTCTGACATCACATTAGCCCATTACTAACTCTACGAAGTTCTCAAGCTTTTGTCTCAGACGTACAAGCCTCGCAAGCCACATATACTTTAATCTAAAGCCCTGTCATAGATTAAACACCACTTCGATATGCTTTTAAAAGGTATTTAACAAAAACGTTTAATGCATTCAACAGGACGGAAAGGACGGAAACCTATACAGCTACTTTGGAAACACTTCAATATATTTTTCTAATACAAAAACACATTTGGTGTGAGGATGAGATGTAAATGGTTTTGTTTTTCGAAATGAAATTGTAAATTAATATTAATTATATCTGAGTAATATCGGCAAGAAATTAACACCGCAGAATTGATTTTAAGGTCATTTTACCTTGCATTGGGTAAAACAACTTACATATAATCTGATATATCTATACATTTCGATGGCAATTTTCAGAATAGCCTGATACTGAAATGATTACAAGGGTGGACAATTTGGCTTTAAACATTCCAGCAGCTAGTGTGGCATAACACAAACGACAATGAACTATATCATCATAAATATTGAATAAGTTTTTATTTTCCGTAAACGGTCGGTGGTATCATCGATGATTGCAAAAATTGAAGATTTCTTCAAGGACTCATGTGATGTCCCAAAACCGCAGTACAGTGATGTCATGATACTTTACGGGTACTTGGCAATGAGTATGATAACTCAGAACACCTAAACGTTAAGAATTCGTGCATCCCTTTAAAACATCAGTGATGACTCGAACTTGAAATCTCTGTACATAAAATGACCTTTCCATCGATAGCCCTCGTATAATGATACGTTACATATTTCAAGTCTATTTAAATGAAGGTGCTGAACAAGCATGCACATATTGAATAGGTTTGTGCTATTTCATCAATCACTAGTCGGTTCGAGCAGCCGGGTGCCCTAACTCCACCCAGTCCCCCCGCCAGTGCACTGCGTACGTCTCGTTTTGTTTCATTAACCACATTACAGAGAAACAATAGTTGAAAAGCACCTCTGAGTGAAACATGTTTGTATTTTTTTCAAATAAATATGAAAGCATCCAAAACGAATGCAGTGTAATTTGTCTTTAGAACGCAAGTATAACAAGCTGAACATGTTTTTTTCTGTTCATGCCAAGATAATAATTCTGAATGTATATAGCGTCTTTCAGAGAAAAAAGAAAAAGGAGGTGAACCATTGCCCTGTGTTAGTAGTGGATGAACCCTTGTGCACGACAAACAATGCATGAAGCCACTTTCTGTTTTCTCCGGATGACGAAATCAACATTCAAACTTTGCATCTTGGCATGAACTCTAAACAATCCCTGTTTAGCTCTGAAGACAAACGACATTGTTCGATTCGGATACTTTCATATTCAGTTGAACATATAAAATTAGAGAAAACATGTTTTTACTAAAGGCGCTCTTTAAAGGAAGTTACGCTACACACGCTGCCCGTGTTCACATGCATGTAATACATGTTTAAGTTCCCAGTTTATAATGTACTCATTCCGCCAAGACGGTACTGAATGGAACCTTGTCGTTAATTTGTTAATAATTATGCACGTACGTACATAAATGAGCATGTCGGTAAAATGCGGGAGTGACCCATAAAAATGTACAAGGATTACATATTGATGTTGATTTTCCTCGAACTCTTCGGAATGTTTTATATTTTTTAAGAGGTTCGTTTTAAGTGCAAAACAAAAAGGAAACTGATTTGAACTTGCGGTCACAACGTCTTAGCAAACGACCAGGGTTCCTTTTAGTGTGGAACAAATAAATAAACTGTGATTCAGAGTATTATTTGCACCAGTTACATTAGCGTTTTGCATTTGTGCAGAATGGCAAGCGTCAACTTGGTTTGCAATTCAGTCTGCAATGATTCGCCGGGCTCAACTAGGCCTGCAACTTCGTTCCCATGGGATGAACCTTATCTGCAACTATTTTAAATAGTAACCTCCCAAACAGGAAAACTTTCCTCTTGAATCTGTGATTCCATAGAATATATCGTGTGCTTGAAGTTACAAATGCCAACGTGCACAACGTGTTTAAACATTTGCAGGTCATTTTCACGTCCATTCCGCCTCATTAAAATCCAACATTTCCAAGTTTTTGCCGAAAAATCCTTTCCCTTTTCAACGCAAAATACATCTTTCAGGAAACCTTGAAGCACATTCAGACGCCAGGATATTCCTAAACAGCACGCGTAAAGAATGTATTGTTCAACACAAGTCTAAATCTTCCACCAGGGTGGGAGAGTGAGTAGCGTCTGGAGGGCACTGGGAACGTGGTTGCTTGGCCTGCAGTTCAGCAGCTTACGGTAACGGTATGCCCATTATTTCACTTCTATTCGCAAATTCATGTTTTAGGCTCGTCCAGAAAGGAGCCTTGCAAAATTTGCTGAACATGCAAACGATCGGGTAAATCGTAATTGAGCTAGTCTTGGCTCAAGACATCCCAACAACACCGTCTTGCACCAGGACTATGATTGAGCAGGTAGCCAAGGGTCCACTGCAAAACGTCAGAATTTGTAGACTCTTGCATAGTGCAATGGCTTGCGTGGTGCACAGAGCGAGTCATACCAAGTGCGCAATTGAAGTGTATTATCCTATACACAAATATTCTCACAATACAATGCACAAATCTGTGACAAGGTATTCACTCGTAGTGCTTGCAAGGATAAACTGCATCCACTGTGATCACCAACACTGGCTTGAGTACCTCAAACGGTTCAGTTTATACTCACAGCATTAAAATCACAGGAATTACCGCTTCATACAAGGCTATTTACAAAACAAGTTTGAACTTTTTCAAATTTCTACAACTTTGAGAAAATAGTCACGTCTTAAAAGCTGCATTTGCAGAATATAACACAACATTAAAATGACTTTCAAAAGACGGCACAACAAAACAAGCTTAACGTAACAACAGTGTTTTAGAATACACACTGAAAAACTGGGGTGTTAAATTGAACACCCTGGTTTCAACAGAGGACTACACCAACAACTTTCACTGGTGTTGAAAATGTTGGTGTTATTTGTTGTTACTTTTAATGCCCTCCAGCGTTTTGTGACACTTATATGTGTGCAAAGTAACAGAGGCGGTGTTAAAGTAATACAATCTGACAACACCAAAAGTGCTGATTTCAACACCACAGTTTTTTCCAGTGTATTAAGCATGTAACTAAGCCTTCTCCTTGTTGGAGGTCGAGCCTCCATTGAGTTCCAGTGCTTCTTTGTCAGTGGTACCGCCTTCCTTCTCTGGGTTAACTGGAAGAAAAGATGCAAGAAATTAGTAAAGTTTTTTAAAAAGTTCGCCATATCCAGATAATGACCCATTTAACAAGTGTAGATTTGAAATGAAAATTGAACTACTGCCTCAAAACAGGACCATCCTTAAAAAAATACATTTCGGTTTTTACATGATGTATTGAAGAGAATGGCAATGTAACAAACTGTGTTAATTTGGTGACGCCTTCATCATTAAAAACATTCAAATATGAGCATAATTGCTGGATGTTTCGTGAAATAACCACGTTACCTTTAGAGGCCTGTGTGATTCATCGAAAATATAGGAACAACTACTTACAAATTTGTCGTGTGCTCAGGAAAAGCATTATACCACAGCCAAGTGTTCTTTCTCATTAATTAAAACACATTTCATTTGGGGGGGAAATTGAATAGAAATCTGAGATGACTTTCGTCAGTGAGACGTTGTGCAAACACTAATACTGACAAGAGAGCCATGTAATTTATGCGAACAGCCTACACGTTCCACCTACTGGTTACACACAATGCAACACATTACAATACAAAAACCAACCAAGTAATGAGACCCAGGAATATTGTACATTTTCTGTATTCATAGAACTGCAACTTGTTTAGGTCGGTCATACGCAACATTCTTCCCGGTTAACCATTTTATTTTCTCTTTAATAGAATACCTCGCAAATGACCCAATGTGCCTCAAAGAATGACCATTGCGGTGTTCAGAACAGATTTTGCCTGGAGATCAATACGTAAACAAAACCGATTAAGATATGTTTAAGGTTTTTTTCTCAATAAATATTCAGAAAGTCACCTGAGGACTTGCACTGTAGACAAGAACACTGTGTGCTGAGACTTTCTCGGCACAAAATGCAGAGAGTGAGGACAAGAAGAATTGCTGCCAAGGCAACTGCTCCAACGCAAATTCCAACAATTTGTCCTGTCGTAAGTCCATCAGTGGCTGCAAAAGGACAGTAAATGAAACACAGAAATCACTTGGGTGTTTCCTTTGAATATTTATTTGTAGATACCTCACGTTTTCCCTTCACTCAATCCAGAAAACAGAATTTGCATGATCTTAGGACCGAAACATCACTATGACACAATTTGCTTTCTCTAAAGAGATGAGCAATGCCTCTATATCGGCGAATTCCAGCCTCCAAAATGTGAGGTGTTATTTTTCTCAAACGAACGCAATTTATCGACTGAATAAAACTGCAAAGAGGAAACAATTCAAGAGTTTTGAGATGGTGCTTTGAAAGGAAAACATTAAACACAGGAACTGGAATTTGTTTCTAACATGAACATGTTGTTTGGAAGAACGAACTCAAAAAACATATCACTTTGTGGTAAGCATGAGGTGGCTAATATGCAGCACAACATGGAGAAGTCTACGCATTTACTAGAGAGGCTAAGAAAGGAAATTAATAAAGAAAAATTATTGGAGTCCGTAAAAGATTTGAAATGAAAACTTAGAGAAGCAGCAATAAAGCTTTTGGGGTAGATTGCGAAGAAAAATCAAGAAACTAGACAAGACCTGGAGATGAACGCATGAGAAAGTAAGCATTACAAAGAACAGGGATCCAAGATTATCAACAACTTATACTAAAGGTCCTTTTAGGGATCTTATAGATTTTGTAGATATTAATTTATAGATTACAACTATTCATAGATTTCGGCTAGTTACACATACAGATCCGATCTAGTTCAAAAATATCTTGAAAAATGTACATACTAGCAATTACAAAGACATTGCAATGTTACTGACTTTGAGAAAACACTCCCACAGACTACAAGAATAGGCAAAATGTAATCCAAGAAATAACCCTCGAGAAAGAAGTCGTTATGACGGTACTGCAGATGAGTGTATTGTTAATGATGAGTATAATGTACGCGGTAAAACGTACATAGTGCAACGCTCAAAAATCGTGTTTTTTATTTTTTTTTATTTATTTTGTCAACTATTCACATATTTTAGGTGTTACCATCTTAAGCTCTGGCCTTACACAGACAACAGATGTCTGAATCGAGAGCCTAACGTATTGTAAGTCGCCAAACAATATGGCAATGAAGCATGCATTCGGCATCCAAAATAACATACGATCCACTTTTTTTTCAATTCTTAATTTTCTATTGAGAGTTTGCCTGTTTTAAAACAAGCTGAAGTCTTTTGATGCCAAATGATGGCATGAACATGAAAACATAAAATGACGAATTGAAAAACAATGGAATAAAATTGAATGACAATAATGACAGGATGTGGATGTGGACAAATTGTTTGATTTCTAAATCAAGTTTTAATTAAATTTCTAAATATTCAAATCGTTAAGCTATCCATGCACGCTCAAAAAGCTAAACTTATCAAATCAAAGATACAGAATCGAACCTACAGTTTACTGCAAAACCTATTCGTAAATATCCAGATTAAAAAAAATCTTCAGTGGTTGTTACTTCGAGTTCAAATAAAGAATGTTAACACTAGCATTTCTGTCACATACGGGAAACAAAGACGAGTAAACACCTGACATGTGGTACGGCTCAGTGATTTAAGACTGCCAATCATAGAATTGAAAGTTTAAATGCAGCAGCCAGAAAACAGATTGTAACAAAAACTTGTTTTGCCTTTCTTCTAATTGCCTCTCTCCTCCCAGGTTAATATCTGGACATCTAAAAGAACGCATATCCGTCTACAATGATTACGGAATGGTCTGACTTGATGCAGGAGATTGTAAGCGCTTTGAGGCAGATTAGTATGAATGTAATTCTGGGCAGCGTAGTTTGGTATTATGTGAACAATGTGCGATTATGCAAGTTTATTGTGCTCATGGCCCTTGAACCAAGCTAGATTATTATATGTCTTCCACTAGAGCAAAAACTTGCTAATAAGCCATTTGCGATTTAAATTTGAATAAAATCTGGTACAATGAGTTATCTGATTGCACATAAACACAACAATTTGAATTCCCAAGACTAAAGACACTGTTGCTGTACCTCGTGATTTGGGGCAAGCTTTTGCTTACCGACCACCATCTCTGGAATGGACAGGTTGCTTTGTTCCCTTCTTTTCCATTGAGAACAGTGTATTGTTGCAAGGCGTCTCTTATGTAACTAAGGATAAGCTTGCCCCGAAACACGAGGTATAGTGTCTTTAGTTTGGGGAATTGAAATTGTTATGTTTGTGTCAATCAGATAACTCAGTGTACCAGATTTTATTTAAATTTAACTCGCAAAAGACTTATTGCAAGTGAACAAGTAATTTTTCATGGAAAATACAAAGAAAAGATGTTGGCACAATGCAATTTATGTACTGAGTTTCAGACAAGCAATTACCCTCATGCAGCACACAGAGGGCGTCGTCACATTGACTGTAATAGACATTTTCTGATAACCCTCGACTTCAGCCACACCTTTATCATGTTGTGGTGTGCGCATGGCTAGAGCAGTCGCGCCCAAAATGTTTATCAGTGTTTATTTGAGCAAGTCGCTTGGTTGCTAGGCTGGCATAATCTCGACCTTTGAATTCACAATGCTGCTGACGCGCAGGTTTTGACTACAAATTTATGAAACCAAACTTTGTGCATGAACCCGTACTTCGTGAACCGGTACCTGCATAACATACGGGCAACGCAAAATGTCATCTGTTTTACATCATTAATAAACGTGTCGTGTGCTTACAGATTCTACAACAATGATGGATTTTAGGACAGAGCGCTGGGTATAATACACGATATACCGCATAGTTTCCCTGTAGCAGATTCAGCAAATTTTGTTGGAGTTTCATGTGAGCCACCTGCATCCATTTTAATGGAAATACCATTTCAGTATTCAAGCTGCGTTTAATGAACCTCTTTGAAATGCCCCTTGAATGAATTTTGCGGTGGGCCTTAAAATACAAGTTCATGCAAAGCTTGAAAATAAAACAATTCAATAGTAAAGTCACATTCACCTTTCAGAAAGCCTTATTAATCTTTACCAGTTTGCACTAAAACAGTTAACACTGTTGAATATAATTTAAATCCATTCATTCAATGTTACACTTTAAACGTTAAACAGAACATTTCTCGAGAAATTTTAACGATCATTCGGAGATTTGATAAGAGGCTGAATGACTTTGGCATTTTTCTTTGATAACTAATTTCGTTGGTATTTCATTATTAGGTCAATATCAATTTATATGGATAATGGACCAACCGTCAAGAATAACATTTCAATACGAATTCGGACATATTTTACTTTCAGGAAAATTAACCACCATATCTCACTACTAATCATTCTTCTTTATATCTTTGTAAATGTCTCAGACATTCACAACGGAGTATAACACTGAACGAATGGGTAAAACTAAACAATTTCAATTTTAAGCAGATTACAAATGCCAAAGCAATTGGTTTTATACCCTCATATTTGTTTTCTCGGTAAGTTAATGATGAGTTTGATGTCAGGTGTTTACTCACCTAATTTCCCTTTTGTTTCTGTTGTACCAATATCTGCAATTACAGAATAAATGGAAAAGTGTTCAATACGATTTCAGTTACAATGAACACTTTTGACGAGTTTGCAGATTTGATTTCCCATGATTGTATTTGATTTCGCAGATTACCAACAAGATATTAACAGCATCAAAAAATTATGAAAGTGTCGTTTTATTTGGCTATGGCAGGAAAACTCTGTTGGAAGTGGGTTTTGGAGATATAAGCTGCAGTTGCAGCTTCATCAAAATGTATTCTTCTAAGCCTAATTCTAGGCCTGCCACTACATGATTAAAGAACATTTCACTCAATGGAAAATGAAAACACATGTAGTTAATACTTCATTTACTCAACTTCTTTCGTAACAATGTGCGTACATATTAAAGACTTGCTGAATCCTCCAGTATTCTGAGGAATTGCTTTAAGTGACTTAACCTCAATCAAAAGGATTTACAGGACTCACCATTTACGAGTCTTCGGAAACGAGTTGCAGACCTTCGTGTGCCTGCGTTGTTCGTTTGGAAAAACTTTGAACTTTTTAGTTTCCAAGAAATTAACCAAATGATTAGACTTCTCTCGCGAAATACAAAACACACAAGAACCATTTACACATCTGAAGATTTACCCCGCCTTCTCCAAGCAGGACCTCTAAATTAAACTATGAATAATATACTGAATAAGAGTCATGAATCTGGAATAAAGTTCTGAAATCGTGACAACAAGCGAGGATTCTATCATTGAAAGGGCATGAAATGGCTGATCTGCATAATATATCTACATATAATTCCTATTCATTTTGAATAAACATCTTGGATTCTTGGAACATTGAAGCAATGAGCAAAGCAGCACGGTGATATTAACATAAATCCTGGAATGTACATGTACGTGTACACGTATGTATAAGACTTTTGCTGATTGTTGATTATGAAGTGTTTGGTTGCTGAATGGGTACGTTATGTACAATCCGTTAAGTGTGTATACAATGCGTTATGTGTAATGCTATTGAGGCTCAAAGGAAATATGTAGTGAACAACCGCTTCCGGTTTCGTCTGTGGAGCATGAAGCTAATAGCTGATTCCTAACTTCCTCGATGGAGCCCTGCAGTTCACAAATCACAACCTGCTTACTATGCGCCAAAATAAGATAACAATCTTACTATACTGTATTTCAATCATATACAGCAAGAAACCTTTCCATCATAAGAATTTTTACAAAGAATACACAGAAAGTACCTCTGCATGTTATCGCATAAACACATTCGACACAAAAGACAAATGTTCTGCAGTGTAGTTCGTACAGTAACAAAAAAGAAGTACGTGTACATTGTCCAAGGTGTGCAGGCACATTACATTTCATATCGACGTGCAACTGTGATCAGAAGAAAAAGATGATCGCGAAATTCATTTATACACGAAGACTGACGGACAGGGACGATTAGACAATCACACTATGTTAGTAATCCAATATCCCGCTGTAACTGTTCTGTTAAGATCAAATGTACCAGCAACAATTGCAACATCCCGTATGAACTGTAATGAAAGAGATCAAGGAGAGGTAAACACGTATACGCAGGAAAGTTCGCGGGAATGTTCAATCGCAACAATAGCACCAAGGTGAACACAATACAAAATAGAAGGAAATTTCACTTTTAGTTTGCAATATTACTGCAGGACCTCGTAGATCCTCAAAACTGTGATTTCAACGCTCGGCAACTAGTGCATTAGTCAACAAAATTGTGCCAAACGAGAAAGCGTGCACCATGACACCATGGGTGAAAACAGCTTCTGTAGTTCGTTATTACACGGCGATACTGAAAATTCAAAAGACACTGAAATGACAAATATAGTGATATGGATATTTACACCCTCCTCTATCCACGTCATTAGTAGTAACTATTAGAGTTGGCGTTGAAGTAAAAATTGGTGTGGAATCTGAAGCCTCTGGGCCAGTACTAGTGGACACCAACAGAGCAGTGGACCTTGTATTACGTTGATCAGTACCACCGGTCGCCATCCATGTGGTTGCCCCTGTAGTTAGTGGGTCAGTACTAGTGGACACCATGGTCGTAGAAGAACGTGTAGTTGACACCTCTGTTAAAAATAAGCCTGTACGTCATGAAAGTGTCAAGTGCAGTAGGCCTTGTGCTGGTAATTAAGCGAAACCTGCACCAAAAACTAGGTGTGGCCGAAAGTGAAGTAAATTTGAAAGTACATGTAAATATATATGACCAAATCCAAAAAAAATCAAAAGGCTACTGGCTTGTTGGTCACAAGAGCGTACATGTATATGAAAGTCAGCTCTGGGAGCGTGCAGTTCAATTGACGAAACATAGACGATACAGCATCCAATTCCAAAAGACTTGAAACATAATGACGTCAAGCTTATTTTCCTACAGGAGCTCGATGGATCGCGTCCCACCTCACTGTCATAGGAAGACGCGCATGTAAATAAAGCATGACGTCATAATGTTTCAGATGTATTTAGTGCAATACCTGCTAAGAAAATGGACAGACCAAACCCGCATGATTTTACAGTAGTTGAAAAGGCGTTCATTATAAAGTGACATCAACGGACAACTTCATGGAAGCACTGGATGTACAGTAGATACACAGACACGGGAAGCTACAAATCATGGGAGAAAGACTACTGAATAAAATTTACTGGGTGCTCTCTGTGGAAAGGACCTCACGAGAAAAAAAGTGGGGGGGTATTTATTTTACATTCTGAAAACGTCCGGGTCAGATTGACCCAGGATTGGGTTCCATTCGGTATAAACCTTTTCCGGGTCGAATTATGACCCAGAAAGAGTCAGATATGACCCGAAAGGGAGTCATATTTTGACCCAGAAAAAGGTCATACCGAATGGGACCCAATTCTGGGTCAATCTGACCCGGATGTTTTTAGAGTGTAATACCCACAAGGCAAACATTAAGATATTTTAGTTATCAACCGACGTTTTTCAACTTTTCTTTTTATGCAATATTGTACAGATGACCATCGGTAAGCTGGTATTTACTGCTTGATCCACCGAGAAATTTCATAAAGATGTCAATGGCCTCAATGGGGCTTCTTATGCACGGAACGCCTTAAGGACATGCACAGTACAGCAAGCTGTGTCACTTGTTTCCAATGCTTAAGCAGAATGATAGTGGTTAATGAAATGGAATAGGAGACGCTATTTCAAGCAAGGTTGGCCACGAGGATTACCTGTTGGTGCACTAGGACCTGGGCCACCAATGGTAGTACTGGATTCAGAGGTTGATTCTGGTGTTGTTGAAGCTGTCAGTTCATGCAAGACAGATATATAACAATGCTGTTAACGGTGGGTTAAAGCAAAGCCTCTCAATTACAAACGCATGCTTTGCACTTATTTTTCTACGCCCCACTCATTGTTCCAAAGGGAGTTTAGCAAAGTATACCCAACAAGAAATGAGACCGAGGGGTACCCCCCCCACATGTCCAATCCCTATACACATCCCAGACTATTGTTACTTGACACATCCCCCCAAGATGTCTGAAAGGAATTCCCCAGATTCCTGTGTGACAATGACCAACACAAAGCAAGGGGGGGTTCTCTCCGTCTCATACCTTGCTGCATATGTAGCAAAGCCACGTATGACATTATTTTGTACGACAGGAAAAAAGGACTCAACCGGCAGTTATGCAGCATTATGAGTGTTGTTTCGTAGATGTGTACATGTGAGAAGACCGAGATTGCATGACGGTACTTGAATTGACACGAGTCGACAGTGCCTTTAAATGCCGATGACACAACTATTATCTCATTCATCAGAACAACTTTTGACGATCAAACTTATAATTATTTCATCTTGACCAGTCGAAAAATGAGCCTCGTGTAGTCAACTAGCGCGGACAAATACACACAAAACCTTAGGCAGCTATACTTGTGGGGTATTCCCTTTGTTCTCGTGTACAAAACTGCCACAAAACACGCAACCTTTTTCAAATCACTCCCATTTGAACTAGATTCACTTTCCTACTTTGGAATTTCGAGTGAACGTCCCTTATTTGAAATACTTTATTTTGCGACGGATGAATGGCACTTGAAAATTCCTCTTTTTTGAGTAAATTTGAAATATCTATTTCGTGAAATCCTTGTCGGGTACCGTCTCAGTACCCCACAAGTACCCTATGGGGTACTTCCCATTGTTCCGGTACCCAACATGCCACTGCAAGGACATGATCATGTCATAAATAAAACCCAACCAATTAACAATATGCAACACCTAATTGCTCAGAATACTGCGTATACGAGAAGCGTGCATGTCATGAATATCATGCCTGTATAGTGCAAAGTATGTGAAGTGACAGAAAAAGAAGAGGCCACACATTTGATCGTAGAGATCATCCACAGATTGGATCAATACAGAGAAATGTGTTCCTGTGGATGGAAATGTTTTAAATGTTCCACACCTATGGACTCACAAAGGGGGCGAGAAAAAAACTAAACAGAAAAACAGAAGTACGTGTACTTTCACTCTATCCCTGGAACTTCATATCCCAGTGACGCCATGCCAAAACTTGGACTAAATGTGCTTCATTTAAGACTTTGCTCTTCTGGCAAAACGAGCTTCATTTTATGAGTTAACACTTTGCTCTTCTGGGTACAATCTTGTTTTCCAGATGGTCAATCAGTGTATTAATGTACAAGTGCATTAAACACGCAAATGAAATACAAGTAATTTTTTCATCGATCAGCAGCAGAAGAACGGTTGTCTGGAGAAACATTACTGTCTTAAAACCTGTTAACAGTTTTCGATCTAAACAATTATATATATACATGTATAACTTTCGACCGTAAATGTATCGGCATCAAATATCCAAAAAGGAAAGTACGCAACTTACAGATATGTACTGCCAAAGGAAATATATGTACTGCAAATGTGTGAGATTTCCTGTTGCGCCATTTCCTGGTTTTATTTTGATAAAACCTTTCTGACACTGAGTCTTTGTTTGCGATGTTAATCAGCTTCCCTAGTGTTTTCGTGATCCCTTTTCATGTATTTTTGTCAATTTCACATCGTGCTCTACAGGTCTATGGCGATTCATGATGCACGTCTGGTATAATTTTATACATGTGCATACATACAGGTATACATGTACATTTATATCACGTACATGTACATGAACACAAGGCGCAATGGAGACTTGGCACTCTGCCAGCTACAGCATCAGGCAGAACGAAAATTTGCCATTCCACACAATACACTATTCATCATTATTTATGCAAAAACCCTGCTATATAAATCACCCTTGACCTTCTTGAGTAGTCGGATTCCGAACTCGCCATTACAATATATATTTTTTTCTGGGCTGCAGCCAGTCTGTGGAATGACATCATCGTTACGGGGAAGTCCCTAAATTCTACCCAGACAGGGCGTTGTTGATATATTATGCTAAATACACAGACCTTTGAAACCGGCTGTGGTTTGCCCTCCATAGAGATAAAATATTGCTGCCTCGCCGGAATGCTTGTAGCGATAAATGGACAAAAACTCAAAATTATGTTCAAATGCACTGAAAGTACAAACATGAATATATGGCACCTCAACACAGGTCGACTTCATTTAATATTAGAGAATAATATAGTAGATAAGGCCGTGTTGAGTTTTATATCCCTGAAAATAAATGGAGTTACTGGTGTGTTTCCTGAGGACATATTACATTATGCTGGAGCATTCAATAATGAATTTATTTAATCTTATACTGTTAAATCAGTTGAAACAGGCCAAGCTGAATCCATATCCCCCCAAAAAAATTGTTTCACTATCGGCGACGGGAAACATATTGCATAGTGCCGATGGCAAGTACATCGATTCAATCTGTTTTTGCACATGTTATAATATCCCATTTATGTCTATTACTCCTCTATATCAATCCCAGCCCTGGTATCAATAACAAGTTTCAGTTTTGTCTTTCCTTACAATGAAATCTAAACCACATACATCAGCAAACCCTACATGTACATGTACACTACAAATGACCCCCCCCCAAAAAAGTCACTCCAAATCAACACAACCCACATACACCATATGCTGTTTCAGTCAAAATGTTTTACACACATGTTCCAGAAGTATAGTCGAAAGATTTTGGCTTCCTTGTCAGTACTGTGTAAACCTTAAACTTATGCATAACTGTGTAACGTGGAACACAGTGAAGTCCCTCATCACAACCCTATTGTTCCACTCAGTATGATTAAGGTGAATACAATGCAGTTAATGTACAGTACATGTGAACCGGCACAAACAAAAAACAATCTGCTCATGGTGCTCTCAGATTGGAAAAGAAAAAATTAACTGTAATAACATTCGTATGCTACATGTATATTTGCCAGCTTCTCTTGATGTTGACACACGATGTGCTAAAAAAAAGGTCAACAGCACATGTCAGCACATATTTACTAACCATGCTAACTCGTAGTTACCGGTATTTTTTGTTTTATGAACCCTATAACTTTTGGCAGCCCTAAAATAACCTGATCAAGATTGGAGAAGGGAAAATACTCATTTAGGGGAAGGGGGTTGATCCCGCATTTCTTGAAATTTATGAAATAGTGGCAAACAAAAGAAAAGACTACATTAACATACATGTACGTGTGGGTCCAATCACTCTATACAAGCTAGGTATAAACAGTTAAACAAGGGTTTAAATTGTCAACTAGATTTCCATATGTGCCACAAATGCTCAATTCATCAACAATCTAGACGTACAGTGTACATGTATGGGCTGGCCATATTTTTCAAGCATACCGCTCCAATACGCAGTTGCTTTTCCTCTCCACATAAGTTCTTCCAGAGGAAATCAATGCATGAAACATAGACAGGGAATGAAGAATAGGTTCCTGCTTGATATACAGTACACGTACATAATGCACCGTACTTGTTATGTTACTGAAAAATTACTTGCATTTAACCTTACCTCGTCCTCCACAAGTTACCCCGGTAAATCCATCTGGACATTTACACTCAGGCTCACCATTAACATCACGACAAGTCCCTCCATTCTGACAGGGATTGATTTTGCATGGATCTGACAAAATGGAAGCAGAGATAGTGATTTAATGGAAGTACATGTATACACCCATCTGGCAATAAAAAAAAGGTTGTACGCACATGTACCGACAACATGAATGGATCAATCATTAGTACTACATGTAGTAAGTGGATATGTTCAAGACTCAGAGTGATCTAAGGTTCTGTGTCTAAATGCTTGCAGATAGTCTTCAGTTTTAAAAAAAAAACCAAGTTTTGAAATTAGTCATTTATTGTACACTGTAGCGGAAACCTCAAGTCTGATATACATGTATTTTACATACATGAGCATGTACAGCTAAGAGCTGCAAATACTGATTTACATGCACACACATTTGTACAGGCAGGTACCCATGTACATGTAACTGTATCAATGCTTGCAACATTGTGTTCATGCATGTACATGTAACATACACAAGGTACAATGTACATCTGCCCCTTGATGGAATTCTGCTGGCCTGCTTGGAGTGCAGTTTTACCACTTCACACCAGGGAGCCCTGCCCTATGGTGAAGGCATGACACCAGACCATAGCATTCAAAGGCACCATGCAGAGACATGGCTGGGGTCCAGATATTGTAAACTCTTGAAATAAAATTTGAAAAAAACTGCTGCTGGTATAATGTACATTGAAGTGAAAGTGCATTCACAGCCAGTGGTTCTGGGACAATGTAAGTGTAGGCCCATATAGAACAGGAGCCCATGTGGGGTCAGCGTAGCTAGAAAGTTAACCAATTTTTAGGTCCACATGCATCTCTATATAAGAAAAGGGATGTCAGCCGAGCACATTCTGGTGAGTGTGGTTATAAGGGCCATGAGAGGGGGACCCCAAATTGAGCTGGATCAGCTGGCGAGTTAACCCAATGTAACCGGCTGGGAAATGCTCAGTATGTTTGCAGGTATCCTGAATGCTATCTACCAGACATACATACAGACATACATGTATGTATTTGATAGTGGGGTGTGCCCGCCAGACTCAGATAACCAGTACCCCAAAACTGAGCTAGATCAGCTGGTGAGTTAACCTCATGGAACTTTTTGGAAAAGTTCACTGGAGTCTCAGGTTTCATGAATGGCCACTACCAGACATTTTTTGTGGTGGGGCGTGTCCACCAGACATCTCCAAATGCCCCACCCCCAGCTGGCGATTGTAATTTTTTTTAGTGCTGATATCCCAATTTGATGACCTATCCATGTATGTCTTCTAAACCTGGAAAAGTCAAAACCGCCTTTTTGTGTTCATTTGTTGTGTCAAAAGAAATGCATTTTGTGGGCATTTTGTTAGCAACAGTTGATTCGCTTTCATGAAAAGGAGCGTGATGTCATTAGCATCTAATGAATATTGATTTCTGTGATGTATTACCGCGGAGAGGAAATACCACAGTGCGCGTGCTCTATGCATGCATAGCACGCATAGCTGCGGATGACAGCATGAACTTGAAGAATTAATTGCTCTCATTCTTCAGAAATTCTAAGAATTTCAATCCTGGTTCTTTCGCAAAATTTCTAGTACGTCCACCAAGACGCACAATTTGGGCATTATTGTAAGTCATGAAGAAAGGAGAACAAACTCTCGACCGAAAAGAGATTATGCGGCACAGTAGAACCTGTACATGTACGTTCGTAGCGCAACCAGTCGCGACACGGATACCAGTTTCAATGTTTTCTCTGGTATTAGATCATAGAAATTGCATTTCTCAACCCACCACCAGCAGTCAGATTGTAAAAATTTTTCATAAAACTCAAAGACAAAGTTCAAAAGTTAAGAACTCGTATAAAAGTATGTCATTTACTGGTATAATTTGAAATAATGTACATGTATGTTTCCCATTGTTTGGTTAGATTTGATCATTGCATGTTCAATGACTGTACTGAAATAAGTCTTGAAAGTGTTAAACAATCCAAGGTGTGATTTTGGATAAGTACTTGTGCCTGTCATTATGATTTACGGGTGCATTTCTGAGACAAACGGGTGCATTTTATCTACCTGCACCCGTTAATTTCGAGCCCCGCTACAACCAGGTACACAACTTGAAAATAGACTCCTGTTCTCCTACCCGGTACTGTACATGTACATGTACCTTGGAATGACTCGTCGTGACTCATCTCTACATCTAGAACTTTGGTAGGCCACATTTTTTCTTGTGTTTCTTTTTTTTTCAAAGTGTATTTTAATTTAACAGGATCCTACATTATTCTATGGCCACCTGAATTGGTGCTTTCTGCATTTCACTTCATGTTTTTCATATAGATTGGCTTGTTTATTCCGTCCAATAAGCGGGTCACATATTGAGTTAAATGTGTATTGATTTTGATGAAAATGTACATGTAAAAGTAACATATGGTTGAAATCAAGGATCATATAAAAGCTTCAAGCACATGTTCATGTGTGATACATGTATACTACCATATAAGCATGCCAGTGTACTGCACGTACATGTACATGTACGTACATGTATGTAACTTGTACATAAAGACAAAGGCTTAAGTCCTCTAAATTGAAAATGAAAACTCACCTGGCTTCAGTTTGAGTGTGACTGTAAGAGTTACATCAGCTGCTGTCGTCCCATCCTGTTTATTTTGAGCACTACACTTGAGGGTAGAGTCAGCTTCAACAGTAACAGTGAGAGTGCTGCTGCTGTCTACTAACCTTGGATCTTCACTGCTGGTGACATTTCTCTCATCAAATGTATTTAAGTCTTTAGAATCAAGTTCCCAAATGAACTTGGCTGCAGGTTTAATGCCAGGTACAGCACATGAGAACCGATTTTCTCCAGCAATAATTGATACATTTTCTCCATTACTATAGTTGGCGCCAGTGTCAATGTGCATCAACTCAACCACTGTCGGTATTTCTGGGTAAAATGACAAGAAATTGATACATTTACAATGTGTAAAAAAAACCAACACCGTTTCTGTCATAATCTTTCCTTTTTGCCTTTCTTGACATCCTTTTTACATGTAATCTGACTTATTTTCTCAATCACATTCTCCTCCCCAAAACCCACAGATCTAGCTGTGAGACTTATATCACTTGCAATATTGCATACATGTATATTACATGTCCATGTATGTAACTTTAACCAGTTAACCAAGCAGAGATCACATTGCAGAGATGTGTAGATGTTGTGATGAACTCATCGTACATGTACCAGTACTTGTGTACTAAGTTTTGACTTATGCTAGGGGCTTTATACGTGTATTTTGCCCATAACCGAGAAACAGATTGCCTTGAAGTTTTAATGCTGTCTTCCTCAAGTAATCTTCTGGAAATTCCAGAAAATGAAAGATTATATATATGCTTTTGTCTTAGACTTATTATCCTCTGCTTTCAACATTCAGAGATGTTCATGTTTGAAACAACAGAGAACAAAAGACTTCCTTACAAAAATGTCTACATGTACATGTTTGCAAAAACACTACTTAATGAAGAAAGCTTGCAAAATTATTTTCCCACTAGAAGAGAAAATCTGACAAAATCTTTTCCACGAGGGGGAAAAATCTATGAAAAATATTTTCCCACTTGTGTGAAAAGGTGTGAAAATCTTTTCCCACTTGTGGCATAGTTTTTCACAATTTGTGAAATAAAAAGTAATTCCCTGGGAAGAGAAAAAGTGAGAAAAGATTTTCCCACTTGGCGTTGACTTTCAATCACAATGTACTGTACATGTACATGTACACTGCCATGCATATGAGCACTGCCATGTTTGTACACTTTGGGAATGCATGCTGGATTTGAGACCAAGCACAAAAATCCTTTACAAGCATGACAAGTGCAAAACTTACCTTACTATTATACTAAGGTATACCCCTGTGCTGTACATGTATACACATGTAACACACATTTCATCCATGAACTACCGATTCATTACCAGTACTATTACAGACTTACTCCTTATCTGAAGCTCGACATCTTCTTGCTCATTTGGATTTCCACTGTCAAGTTCTACTTCACACCAGTAACTACCTTCATCTTCCAGAGTTACCGACTTAACAGTCAAGGGGTAATCTGCTGATCCACTGTCAAACTGGAAATGGGATTGATCCACGCCTGCTGACCATGTAACAGTTCCATCCAAAGTGAATAGCTGAACAATCTGCGTTGCACTACTCAGTTCTCCACCAAGAGTGGTTTCATACCAACGAAGAAAACTAATTGCTTCAGAGGGAGTACACGAGATGGATATGGTTGTATTTTCATCAGCCCACTGTGATCTATCACCAACATCAAGTGCTGCACTTGAAAGCATGACTGTAAAAATATCATAAGGGATTTAACAGAAATTATTTCAATGAAAATATGATTGCAAACTAATGTAACAGTCAGATTCATACTGTACCCCTGTACATACCTGTTCATTTACACGTACAATGTACATGGATGAGTGATTTAATAGATTCCAATACACATACATGTACATGTACGCATGTCCTAATCTATTAATTGAAATAAGGTACCGGTACATGCTGGAAAATGGGGCATGAGTTAGATTGCTAATGCAGGCTACTACACTGGGAACATGACATCGTATACATTTTTAGCTTCTTTCTATTAGACCAATCAATAGGGGCACAATAAACCTTTTCGAAGCTCACAATACATAAGGGTTTGGATGACCAACAAGCAATTCACTTTATGCACAACCCTACAGGGGAAATGAACCAGTCAGGAATCAACTTACATCTAGTTCAACATGTTCAAAGATGGATTTGAACCAGTAAATTAATGGATTTTGCCCTGCCCAACATGTATTTTAACACTGTATTCTTGCCCCCGCGACTGAAAGAGTGTGGGCCAAGCACAGAGGCCATTTCACGCATGCGCAAATATACTACTAGACGAACTAGCTCTACTACTGTATCTTCTTTTACAACTTTGGACCAGATCGTCATACTAATGCTCCACGAACGTTCATTCAGTAAGATTAACTCGGTTCTCAAAAATTCCAAAGACTCACAAAAAATACCTCTATCACCACCTACATGTAATGGCTTCCATAAATCACGTCAAACGGGTGGTGCTTCAATGCCATTTCTGACTTCAAAATCTGTCGAAATCCGACCGTTTTCGCTTGACACACGCACAGTACATGTAGGGTGCGTGTAGGAATTTTAGACCAGGAGGAAAATTTGATCAACTGCATTCAAACTACACAGCTGGTTGAATTTCTTGCTTTTCTAATGTGGTCGAATACCCCCACCTTTACCCTACTTTAACTTTTTGCCGAGCTACAGACAAACATACTGTACCCCGGAAGTTAGGCACAATGCAATGTAGACTACATCCAACCCGGGCTAGGTTCGTCATGACAAAAAGTGGTGTTGTGGGAAGGGATTCTCCAAATTTTCCTTTTCTACCAAGATTTAAACTTCGAAGTTTTCATCCCAAACCAATAATTCAACACTGTATCAGATGGGGATGGCTTGAATTTGAGAATTTCTCCCATCCCATAGGGTTGTGCATAATGTTTGTCATCCAAACCCATAATGCATTGCGAACGTCGAAAAGGTTTGCCTAGCCCTACACCTACCCAGGACTGCAGAAAACAGGCCTACCAGACCTAAGGAAGGGTACACACGTTTCGATGAATTCGGCCAAACCATCTTTTCACCGGGCAGGAAAGTTACCAGCGAATCTTCTGCTGGGTTGGATCCACTACGTTTGTACTGTCGATGCTGGATTTGCTGCCCTACCGCGCCGTACCAGTATTTTGGTTCCGAGCGTACATACGACTACAAATTACAATGTACATGTACTGCACATGTAAATAACCCACTCAGGCCCAGCTACCTTGGAAATTGGCATCGCAGTCGAACATGTACATGAACTCGGCGCGATGCGAATAATGGCAGTGTACCAGCCACCAATAGAGGGCAGTCAAATACAACGTTTTTTCGAAAATCACGATTTCCCATAGCCACCAATGATTAATCCTTGTAATTCAAAATTATTTTAGAAATGCTCACAACTCTTACAGGTGTCCAGGCTGGACAGAAAAATAATGTTTGTTATGTCCTTTTTCATTTTCCTTTCATTTTTTAGAGTGTTGACCAATGAATATTTGAGAAATTGTTACCCAAAGCAGTTTACCCCTAAAATGTAGGAAATTGGCACTGCCCGGAAAAGTACTACATATTTTTTGAAAATGCATCTCTCTGCAAAACGGCTATTTAATTAACCTTCAAAACGCTTTTTCTGAAAAATATTAAAGGCAAAATTCAGTTCAGTTGAAAAACAAAGAGGCATTCATGATAAATGTGTTCCGTGGTTTCAGTAAATGCAGAAGAATGATTGGGCTAAAGAAATTTCGGACGTAAAAACGACGTGCACACCCAAATGTGCTGTTACTCTGGTATCTGCAGTACATGTTGATGGACGGGCTGTTTCCTGACCTGTAAAAAAAGTTGCAAAATTTCATTTGGCAGAATACACACAATGACTGATTCATTTATGGAGACAATTATTAGGTGTCATCACAGCTAGTTATTACAGAGATAATGTCATGTCTTCCGAGGGTTTATTTCTGCTTTACCTGTACTGGATACTTGTATTTGTACTATTCTCTGGTCTTATAAAATGAACGTGAACCAATTATAATAGCAAAACACACTGAATCTTGCAGTCTTTTACCCTGATCAAAGCACTTTGTGAATGTTGTCATTTCCTACATAAACTAAGTCTTTAACCTAATATTCAAAACGCTTTTTCTATTAAAAAAAGTGAAATTTAGTTCAGTTGAAAAAGAAAGAAACAGCCTTGGAGAATGTGTTGTATGGTTTTAGTGAATGCAGAAGAATAATTGTATAATACATGTAGTTGGTGGGTTGACATTGAGTCAGGATTACAGGACATAACTTCGACTATGCTTTTATTTCTTTCATGCTTGGGTGACAACAACAGGTGGTGTTTTACAAGAGCGCCCTCTCTCTCTCCCCCCTCTCAAACGCTCTTGGTTTTTTCAACCTCACTACAAACCCCCCCCCGAGTGTGATCTCTCGTTTGTCGAAATGTATAGAGCTAAAACCTGTTGAACAAAGCGATCAGTTTGACTTTTGTAACTACCCTACAGATCATCCACAACAAAAAAAGCCATCGGTAAATGAGAGACGCACTTTCTGGAAATTTAGCTTGTGTCGGAAGTGGTATGCTTATATATGCTCAAAAATATATTCGATCTTGTTAGACGACGACACCGTGTTAAAAAAGACCAAAGGTGTAACTAAAGATTTGACCGAAAAACAACCGACCCTCGACGTTTATAAAGATACTCTGTCTGATCAACGACGCGTCTTTTTGCAACAACGTGGACTTTGATTGTATAAAAACCTAATCTACACCATTTCTCAAAAGAAATTGTGTCTGTCTGCACTAGACTAAAAATGATTTATTCTTGACAACGGCATTGAAACGATGGCGTTTGGTAATTATAGAATAAATGAAACTCAAACTCAATCCTCAGGCGGTATTTCTGTGTCTTCGGTTACCATTTGAAGCTCTTCTCGAGCAAAGAACGTTTGGGACCATTAGCTAGAAGATAATCCAGCAAAGGACCCGTCGACACCTTTTGCTGCTGACTGTTTGAGCTGACTGACTCTGGTCGCTCTGACTGGCTTTGGCTCGCTCGCTCCTTTTGGGTGCAGCTGGCAATTGTTTTATTCGATCTAGCTTTTTTGCTTCTAGAGGAACCGCATCTTGGCCTCGCTCGCTTTGGATAAACCGTGTTTTTTCTTTGTTTAGAGCCTCCACGACGTGAGGCAACCGTATAACACATTCTACGTTTCGTTCACTTGGATTTAACATTTCTTGCACATACTGATGACAAAACAGTTGTTCAGCCAACGTCCTGTTAAATCGTTCTAGGATCCCTTGCTATCGATGAACCCAAGGGTAACCGACTTGCACCTGCATATCTTTTTAACGAACCTTTTTTTTAAACTCGCCTTTAAATTCCGAACAGGCGTCTGCGTTAAGCGTTTTAGGCCAAGGTAAAGGAGACCTGTCGCACACTCCTCTTACAGCGTCTGTCACTTGTTTGGCCGTTTTGCTTGTCAAAGGTTCTGCTTCTTTGTATCTGGAAGCCACGTCGACCACCGTTAACGCGTATTTGTAAGTACGTCGTTTTACGAGATCCCACGGTAAATACAGCACGCCCATTTGATTGGTGTTGCTGGGTGCAGACTCTGTTTGTGATGTATTCGGCCTAGGTATATACTCGGGTGCAGGCAGTTAAATTTTCCAAATGGCTTGTGTTGATAACCAGGCTCTTACCGCGCTCTTGTACATACCGATTTTCTCGTGTAGCTGTAACAAATCTCTTTGAGCTTCATATTCCATTTCTCTCTTTTATAAAGGAAGTAAAAAGTTTTACCAATGCCGTTTTACCACCACCGAGAAACGAGATAACCCAAAAGGACAATTTCACCCAAACCAGTTCACGTTCTCGTTGATCGTCGCTCGGCACATAAAAATCACTCATCGTCGGATCAGGTGGCAGTCCCAAATGGTTAGTGCCCGGGATGTCGCTGTATACCATCAAGGCTTCGTCTACGTTTTTAAACGTTTTCTCTGAAGCTCTTTCTTTCTGAATTCACCCGATGATAACCCACTGTTCTTTGGATTGCGCCAACTGCTCTATCGCTAAATCGTGTCTCTCACATTCTTGATCAACCTGATTTTCCAAATCAAACTAAACAAAACGTTAATTCCCGTAATGGCGTTTAAACTCGATCTAGACGGAGGCACAGACGACAACCGGTGCGTATACAACAACCTAGCTCGCATTTTTCCAAAGAAAATGGCGTGAAACTCCAGGGTCATTCAATGTTGAATTATATCAACGCCCATGTGTTTCACAACCTTAAAGACAACTGGTTGCCCGCAACACAAACCAAAAACAAGGCTTATTATGGTTTAGAAGGAGAAGGAGAGCATAGCCAAGCTCAGACTCTCGGCCGGAGATTTTGGTAACCGTTATTCGATAATGTTGAACATGGAGATGTTGACCAATCACATACTGTTTTTGCTTTCGGCTTTGAAACAACCTTTGCCTTACGTGTTAATCTTTAACCATCAGGGTAAGGTAGTTAAGTCGAGTGTACCTCAGCTCAGTACGCGATTTCGGACCTGACGCTCGAATACGAAATTGTCACTAACCGCGAACTAGCTCAAACGCTGAAAAACAAGCACCATTATTACATGTGTATTACATGTTTAACAACGTTCACAACTTGGAAACTCGAGCAGTTAACAAATCAGATACCCTGGAACGTGGTCATCAACTAATTGCAAGGGTATCGATCTGGTTCAAAGATCCCACGGTAAAAAACCCTCAAACGTTTTATAACGCCCACATCACAAAGGCGGTCATAACTACGGAAGGCAATCCAACCAACTTTATTCACGGAATGTACGAATACTAACACTTCACCAAAACCAGCAAGTTTTTTGGTGATTCTCAAACAGAATCAGGTAGAGCAATCGCAAAAGACCTGGCGGGTGTCGACATGGCCGAATACCTGATTTAGAAGCACCGACGACAATGCGGGTCACGGACGTACAGCATGTGACTCGGGTAGAAACATGATACAAATGACTCGACAAGCGGAAACCGCCGGTAAATTAACGATGTACGTGTTTATCGTGTGGACGCTCAACCCACGACGGAAATTTAAAAATTTTGTAAAATGCTGATTTTTGGTGTAGCGCTGGTTTTGTCAGAGTTTTTAGAAGTTTTTAAAGAGTTCTTGGAAGTTTTCTTTTTTATAAAACCAACAATATGAAACAAATTATTAAACAAATTATTCGAAACGCATTGATTGCAGGAAAAACCAACCCGGGTAAAACCAAGTGGGTGTTTGATCTACTCAAAACCAGTTATCGAGGAGCCTTCGAAGTTATCTTAATTATTTTCTCGAAAGACGTTTCTCGAAGGACGTTGGGTGTTTACAGATCCTAACGTATTTCTCTGTGACATCGATCAAGAACGCTTACAGTTAAACGAAGCTGTTGACTTGTTTCGAAACCTGTTTGACCGAACTAAAACCTTGTTTTAATCTACGATTACAGATCCGAACAACAAGTAAAATATCGTTAAAGTAAAACGAGCAATATTTTTGTTCTGGTAGGCACTGTCATACAGCTGTTGGCTGTTGACACAAAAGTGTAATTCATTACTCAAACACTATCGTAAAAACATGGATCGCATTGTTTTATTGTAAAGATCGAAACTCTTTTGTCCAAGCGTTAGTAGAAGGGGAGACTATCCAGCACACTTTGACCTTTGCGACAAAAATAGCAAAAGGTCACATTAATATGCATAAGTATGATAATAATATGATATTGATATGAATAGGAATGAGGTGTAGGGTGAAAAATTCTGGCACAGATTGACCTTTGGTAAGGGATAGGTATAAGGTCGGAAAGTGTGGTACAGGTTGACCCTGGTGTATGGGATAAAATAGGAATAAGGCACAGGGTAAAATTGTTGGGTACAATTTGACCTTGCTTATGATAAAAAATAGTGGAAGAGTCATACCGTGCGTGATGACATACTAACTGGCCAATCAGGCGATCCAAAAGTAAATAGGAAGTAGGGAGCGATAATCCCTACACAAAGGACCGTGGGCACAATGTTTTAGCGCATTCGTTCAATGGAAACGTCGCCATTATAAAAAAGCTACGATCGAAAGGCTTCTCCGTACCCGTAATACACGTAGATTCATATAAATATGATGAGTCAGCATCAATGTTTGGATATGATCTCATCATCTATATTGGAAATGATCACATCATCTATG